CCTTTTTTTCTGCTAATACTCCCAACCACTTTCTAGCAAAGACCTGTTTGTTCTCTTTTTTAAAACTTACTGATATTTATTAAGAACGGAACATGATTTTTTAAATGTGTATCTGTTCTTTCAAATTAATTATTGGGCGATCCAATGATACAATTGTGACCTTGAAGTTCCTTCATTCCTTATCCCTTCCTTTCTTCCTTAACTGGTTCTGTCCCCTCTGATCATTCCCCTGTGTGTTTATTCCCGCCCTCTCTNCTTGGACCAACCACAGCTTCCTTATAGCAGTTTCATCAGTGTTGCCTGGGAAAACTTCAAGTAGTAAGTCAGTGGGTTACCAGAATATTTCTACCCACCCAACTTAAGAAAAATTGAAGAGATATTCCAGAAGATATACCTAAGTAGCTTTTTATAGTAAAGTAGAGGTAGAAATGCTTTAAAGATTTTCTTCAAAGAATGAGCCACAGTGGTGGGTGTATAGAAAATTGCTGGTGTTTTGGAGCAAGGACTTTTCACCTGCTAGAAAGCATCCAAAAGTGAGGTGCTTAACTCCAGGCACCAATCCAAGCAGTGACTTTGTTACTAAGAGGGAAGGGACTTTGGTTGGTTTCACATCGGCCTTTTTTTTTTAGCCACAACTACATGCTGACACAATTCTGCCAACGTTGTAGGTTTTTGTTTTTAGGTGAAAGTTAAATGTGGCCTGTGCCCCCTCATTTAATTCCCATTTTGTAGGGACATCCTACTGACTTCGTTGGATAGCCACCAAGGTCGCTCCAGATCTTCAGCAGATGTTTTCCTTGAGGCAGCTATTGGAAGATATGTTTTCTGAGGAAACAGACTACAACCCATTTATTAAAACCATTTGCATTGTATTCATTTATCAGATACTCAGTGTAAAGTGTAGTTGGGTCATGGCCAAAAACAGTTGCAACATCTAATTTGTGCTCAGGATAGTCATTCAGAACTTCTTGATTGGCTGAAGTTGGCTAACCATTTATGTACTCTATGGTTAACCATTAGCATCCTAGGTGACCTAATGGAAGTTTTTAAAGAGTTTTTAAAAGTATACCTTGCCAGGAAGAAAANCTAGGTGACCTAATGGAAGTTTTTAAAGAGTTTTTAAAAGTATACCTTGCCAGGAAGAAAAGTAAAATTCTTCAAGTTATGGAGTATTTGTTTCTACTCCAGCCTGATAGGCAAGACTACAACCTGAGAATATAGATGTATGAGACATCTTGATATGTAAAGCACTTAATATTAAGGGCATAAAAGTGAAACTGTGCTAATTTAGTGTAGAGAGATTGCCACATTTGATATGTGGGACTATTCACATCTTATATACATCAGAGAATTTATTCCGGAAAGGAACCTCTTGAATGTGATAAATATGGCAAAGCCTTTAATCACATCTCAGCCCTTAGCATCATAAAGCTTACACTGTAAATAAACTTTATTAATGTTAGTGTGAAGACTTTCATATATAGCACTCATTGCTTTGGATAGAAAATGAATTCCATCAGTTTGTTCTAGTCATGTAATGAATTTCAGAAACACTGCAGAGGGAGCTCAATGTTAACTCCAGAGGATCCACAGAAGAAAAAAATGTGGGAAAAAGCTAAAGAAATAGCAAAAGGTACAACTTTTTACAAAAATCATTAATGTTGGGTACTCATATATATTTTGTATGACCATAATGTCAGTGTGTGTTTTGTACCTCCAACCCCTGCTGTTATTCTGTATATTTCCTATAAACAGATGATGTATTTTATTTTAATCTATTTGACAGTGCACATCACTCTACAAGAGTGAAGTTTTGGAGTGAGTAG